ATTCGGACGACGATTCAAGTTGCTGGAACGCATACTGGCGTCACCCTGCCGCGCCGCTACTGGCGAGACGACCAGACACGTCGCCTAACCTTGAAAATCGTAATGCCCTCTCCAGACGCACTTCGCGGCTTCACGTCGCGTTCGCGCGTTGTTCCCGTTTGTTGTCGGTTTTTCGTCCCGCGACAAAGGGTTCGCAAGGCGCGAACATGACTACAGTATATTCAGATAAGAGATAGACCGGACATAAACAAGACCACGTGATCATCGAACGCTGTTACATTCGGCAGGGACGTATTAAGAGTCACGCAGTACATATTTTAGATAGTAGATGCTGCTTTGCGTAACTTTGTAGAAAATTAGCACAATTCGATGTGTATACGATTGGTGATGGATATAGGATCATGTGGGGGTGTGGTAAGAAATATATAATGATGTAAATATACATAAGGGTTCCAAAATTTTCGCTTCGATTTCCAGCTTCGGATGCCGCCTGATGTTTGGTGAAATACAGTCGAATACGTATAATCTCAAAATGGCGTTTAAATTAGCCTAAATTAAAAATAATCGTATATCTCTTAAAATTGCTTTTAGAATATTGATTAGTATATTTTTTGATTTCTAGGTAAATATGTAACCAAATTAAAACGTTCAAAACGTAAAAAAATGTGTATGGTTGAACATTGTCAGAAAGTAGATTCTTGAATAGGTTTTGCCAAAATGGGTTCAAAAATGTCAATAATTAATTAAAAAATACAGTAGCTTTATAGTTACTTATAACTTACCGAATTTGATGAACGACATCTTTTATTGGAAAGATGAGCTTGATGAGCTTTCATCATCGCTACTGCCTGAAGCACCAACGTCAATAATGAATGGCTCGGCTTGTTAATCTAAAATATTGTCCAGTTCCCACATTCTCTTTTCAACTTTGTCTTTCACGTGCTTAATACAGTTTTCCCATTTTTGCGCTGTTATTAATTCTAGTGCTTCTTTGAAATTGTCCTTTGAGGTCACAAAATTTAAAAGTTGTATTGTGCTTAGCTATATAATTTTTAACCTCTGCCCATATGAGCTCAATGGGATTGAGCTCGCAATGGTATGGAGGTAAACGGAGCACAGTTTTATTTTGACTTGCTGCCATTTCGTCAATGGCGTATTTTTGATATTCCGCCTTGTGATCCTTGACAATTCTTAATAATTGTACTTTCAGCATTGCTTCTTCAAAGTTGATATTTTTCGAGCGGAGCCAATTTTGAACATCAACTTTCCTTGAAGCCGTTGTTGGGACCTTCTCCATTCTTCGAGAATGATAAGGCGCATTATCCAACACAATTACTGCGTTTTCCTCTCAGTTCGGTAAAATTTTTGAAAACCACTGTTCAAACGGTTCGCCATTCATTTCCTCGTGGTAATCTCCAGTTTTCTTAGACTCAAAGCACCACAGACCGTCAACAACAAATCCATCCTCACTGCCAATATGGCAGATAATGAGCCTTTTCCCTTTACCTGGAAATCGAAGTACTAACTGGTGTATATTTATTTCAATAAGCGAACCTTTTTCAAATGTTTTCATCACATTCAGCGAAAAAACATTGAGACATGAGTATCAGATTGCTATAATTGGGATTATTTAGTCATATTGAAAGAAAGAATATTGAACGTCGTATGATTACTCAGCGCTTCACAATTTAATTTAAAGTTATAAACCTTTAAAAAATGAATGATCAGGAACCTGAAATACGCGCAAATATTAATATTAAACAAATTATAACTTTATAAAGCTTAAAGTATGAATTAAAATGATTAGAAATATTAGGAACGGTACACAATATAAAACTTTTTTTAAGTTTATAATATTCGACATATTTTAAGATTATATTAAAAAATTATTGAAATATCGAAAACACATAAAAACATGGCTTAAAAAAGTTCTAACAAATGAAAATGACAATAAAACATCCACGCATTTTATCGAAAGTTATAAAAGTTTTGTTACTTGTAATATGTTTTATCTGCCCCCTGGAATTAATGTTTAGAACCTTGTTCCCAAGGTTTGAAAAACATCCGATTGTTGTCTATTACTCGTATTTACCTGCTGGTTTTTTTAATCCGGTGGACAGTCCATCTAGAAAGGCCCTCCTGGATGATGTTACAGAATCATCAACCCATACTTTACTTGTAGTGTGTCCTGCGTTTACCCACGTTTCATCAAGGTAATAAATCTTCCTGTTTTGATTTCTATATTTCCCAATTTTTGTTAAATAGTCCCTCCACCATAGCACAATTTCTTCTCTATCCAGTAGTAAACTATTACGACCCCGTTTTTTCCATTTGAAATTTAAATGCTTCAGTAACGCATGGAAAGTTGATAGTTTGAAATTTGGCAACGTTGTATCTCCATTTACCTCCTGCAGTACTTTATCTATAGTAGGTATTTCATTCCTAAAGAAGAATTCATGCACTTTCCTCCTAATCGCATGCTTATCAGCTTCATCCAATGATTTAACAATACTTTTGCGATGTTTACTGGTCATTGGCTCAGAAAAGGTGTGATTTTTTTTGTATTGTCTTAACACATTAAACACTGATGCGCGACACACCCCAACTTTGTGAGAAACCTTCACAACAATTTCTTTGATGGTTGATGCCTCGTTCTCCTCGCGCTCGATCTTATATATATTCAAAATTACCTCTTTAATTTCTGCACTCAGGTGTCTTTTTTTAGAGCGTTTCCTAGGTGGACTACAGGAGTTTACAACTTCATCGGCAGTATCTGTACTACTGGGCATTTTGCGCAAGCAGTTGATAACAATAACAATCAATAACAAGGTATAACAATAACAACGGCAAACTCAACAACTTAATAAGATAACAAACGAAAACGTCCAAAGAAATATCAAATTGCAATGATGCACACGACATACGTAACACGTCTGAACCTGAATGTGACTCTGCCTTGATACGACTGCTCTGCCGCTCGGCATAGGCATTCAATTGCGAATTGACCAATGAGGGCTCCTGTTTTACGTCGAGACGGCGGCGTTAGCGTGAAAATCACCCGAACCCTTTGTTTACATTCGGTCTATCTCTTATCTGAATATACTGTAGGCTCCTCATTCGCTGGTGGCTCAGTTGCTTTGTAACGAATTCCGGGAGTGGTTGTGTTTTTTCCACTTCTGTTCATTTCTTTTAGTTTTACTTATATATGCGTAATTATGATTTGCCAAAGCGCAAAGTAGCCCAGCGGCTGCAGTAGCAATTTCACCGTCCATGTCCATACCCTTCAAGAGCGCGAACCACACAGTGAAGCAGGCGTGGACATCTGCGAATCTCGAAAACTGTCCATACAGTTTCATATTCGCAGATGTTCGCGCCTGCTTTACAGTGTGGTTCGCGCTCTTGAAGAGTATGGGCGGTGAAATTGATACCGCTGCTGCAGGGCTACTTTGCGCTTTGGCAATATATAAGTAAAACAAAAAATAGAAAAGAAGTGGAAAAAACACAACCACTCCCGGCACTCGCTATGAGGCAAATGAAACACCAGCGAATGAGGAGCCTAGTCATATTCGCGCCTCGCGAACCCTTTGTTGCGGGACGAAAAGCCAACAACAAACGGGATCAACGCGCGAACGCGACGTGAAGCCGCGAAGAATACGTGAATGTTATCTACACTCATGAGTCGCGGGTAGTTCGCGCGGGTATTATACCCTCTCCAGACTCACGCGCGGATCACGGCGTGAAATCGCGGTGTGAATCCCGAAAACTGTTCCTACAGTTCCACATTCGCAGATATTCGCACCTGCTTCACAGTGTGGTTCGCGCTCTGGAAGAGCATGGACAGTGAAATTGCTACTGCTGCTGCTGGGCTACTTTGTGCTTTGGCAATGTATAATTACGAACATATAAGTAAAAAAAAAATAGTAAAGATGTGGAAAAAACACAACCACTCCTGGCTCTCGCTATGAAGCAACTGAGCCACCAGCGAATAAGGAGACTAGTGATACTCCCGTTGGTGCGGGACGAAAAATCGACAACAAACGGGAACAACGCGCGAACGCGACGTGAAGCCGCGAACCGGATCTAGAATCATCTGTCGCGGGTAGTTCGCGCGCGATCCGCGCGTGAGTCTGGACAGGGCTTAACAGACGTCCTGTCAGCCGTAAAGAATCAGTCGCGGAAGCCCGGTCTACACCTGTCGCGTATTTACACATTCATGTACAAGTACTCGAAAAACTGTTCTGAGCCGAAGCGAACTGCGAGTTGAATTGCTTTGCCTACCTATCCTCAACACAAGTACTTCCTGCGAATAAAGAATTGTGAAAAGTATGTGCACTTCTTTCTATAAAAATAATCATTTATTTTGTTAGATTATTCCAAGACAATTTCGAAAATGAGATATTATGGTTTTGTGACTAGTTTTAATAAGCAACTAGGTATAGTTTGTCCTGCTTTTAGTTGGTTTAATACTGCCGTCGAGGATGTTGATTCTACATTTTAAATGTAACTGAGTTAAGTATCTTCGAATTACTATTTTGTGTCCATCTATTTCACGACGCATTTGGAAATATTATAAACTACGTAATTAAATTGGATTCAACCTTTTGTGATAAGGCGAACATAGTAACAGAATATATAGGCACCTATCAATAGACTTGACGCTATTTCTTAAATGTCATGTATTACTTACATGCCTATTATATGTTGTATGTTATTTTACAGAATAAAAGTGGATGAACACTTGGAAACTGTATGTTTTAATGACTAATTCCTATAATGAATACATGCTTCTTAAGTTAACAACACCCTATATTCATTTGTTTATAATTATAATGCAACTCGAGGATAACAGAGAGGGCAAGTGTCATTGATCAGAATCCTGTAAACAATCGTCGTAGTTTCGTTTGTTATGTGTTAGTGCGCAATCGTCGGATGGCGCTGTGAACGGCGACACCAGACATCATAGGAGAAAGTGTTATCTGTAATGTAGCTGTGGTACTCACTTTGCGAGGTACTCATCGAAATCGTCCAAAGTGACGGCAGGCATCGTGACGGACCCAACATCGTCCTGTTCATCTTGGGTGACCAAACTGCCCATTGCCGACAAGAAGGACTTAGTCCAATAATTGACGTCGTTCAGTTTCTCTCTGCGTCTGAGGTAGTTCATTCTGAGTATTCTTTCGTCTTCCGGCATCATGAGCGCGCGATGGATCACATCCGAGGCATCGTCGATCTCGTACGGATTGCAGATCAGAGCTTCGTGCATGGTTTCGCCTGCGCCGGCGAAGGGCGAGACTATCAGGACACCTGGAAAAGGGTTAACGTTTCAAACCCTCAGATTCATAATGCTGTTAAAGCTTGAACTTTTCCTTATACAGCGTATACCTGTAAATGTGATGAAATGTCCATACAGTAGGTATTATCGGACCAACCCTCAAAACTCTTTGCAGACCAGAAAGTTGGAAGCAGAGTTTATTCGGGTGAATGCGAAAATTTTAGAGATTACAGTTAATGTTTTTGTTTTGCGATGTCTACAACACGTGACAAAAATACCATCTATTCTCACCTGGTGGAATGTTGATTTGACAAGCAACGAATTCTTTGGCAACCAAGTTCATTCCATCTCTGAGAGGCGTGACTAAACCGACTGCAGAGTCTCTGTAAAAGGCTGCCAGTTCGTCTTGACTCACGCAGCCATAAATATATCTGCAATTAGAAGCATTTTTAATATATCCAAAATATGATACGAATTTCCGAGAACATAGTTGTTTTAATGACTATAAGCACGAAGTACACGTCTGGAATTCCGGAATATTCGACTCTTTTTGCTGAAAAACTCAGACGCACTTTTTAGCATAAATCATCTAATATCCCTGGACTATTTTAAGGAGAAATTTCATACGTGCGCGGTCAAGCTTGAAGTGTGTAGCTTAAGAATATCGAATCAACATCAGGGAATGTTTCAAGCAATTTAAAGATTTTCCAAACATTTCGATAAGTATGAGATCCTGAGTCAATCTGCCTAACTTGACTTTAGATTATGCTATAAACTATAAGCAGAACGCACACGTTTGAAATTAGGGAATGTTTGACTCTTCTTGCTAAAAAGCTCCAACCGTCATTTTTTAGCACGAATTATCTAATATCCCTGGACTATTTTAAGGAGAAATTTCATACGTGCGCGGCCAAGATTGAAGTGTGAGTTTTAGAATATTGAAAAGGTCGGAAATGTTTTAAACAATTTAAAATTTTTTCAGAAACTTCGATATAGGGGAGAAGGGGGCAAGTTGTTACGAGGGCAAGTTGTTACATAATTATTTTAAAGCGCAGCAAGTACGACGGGTTGCCTGAAAATGTACAAGAGATTGGCTCTGCCGACCCGCCATCTGTACACTAACAGTTATACTCATGTGTAGCGTCCTTCATGGTGTTTTTGTGTATAATGTTGTTTCAGTTATAAAACTCTACCGTTGTCTGTTCGCTTTTATTTCCGTTTGTGAAAAATTGGTAAGTGGTATAAATATGTATATTATACCGTTCTGGAGCCTATATTTTTCTCTTTATTTGCATGCCGTTGTCTTTACCTGATTCACAATACTTTCCAAAAAACATTGACCTAACCTCATTTTGTGCACGCGGGGCAAGTTGTTACAATAATTTGGGGGCAGGTTGTTACTGTAACAACTTGCCCCATATATTTTAATGCAAGTACTATAATTTTCCATTCCACTAAAATTTACACAATAAAATTGTTTTTGTTGTTGTCAGGTTCTTGAACATGGTGCGAACGTACAAGAAGAAAACTGCAAGAGGTATTATTCCAATTGAACAATATGAAAGTGCCATTCAGGCCATATTACAAGAAAAATTATCAATTAGAGATGTTGCTACTCGCTACGGGGTTAATTTTATGACGTTACACCGCTATATGAAAAGAAAGTTAGCCCTAAACGTTGAAAACAGAAGCAAGTGCTTAGTTGGCTACGCTACGCACAGAAAAATATTTAACGATGCCGAAGAACAGGAACTTGCGAAATACACAGAGTATTCCGCTAAAATTTATTACGGTCTTACAACTTCTGATTTGCGCAAACTTGCATTTCATTTTGCGATAGCAAACAAAATATCTGTTCCAGCAAATTGGAAGGTGAAAGAAATAGCTTCCAAGGATTGGTTATATGGATTTCTGAAGAGGCATCAAACTTTATCTGTCAGAACACCCGAAGCTACTAGTATGGGCAGAGCCACTGCGTTTAATCGCCATAATGTGTCGCAGTTTTTCAATAATCTTGGCAAGGTTTATGATAAATATAAATTCCAGCTTCAAGATGTCTATAATATGGACGAGACTGGTCTTACCACGGTCCAAAGGCCCACAAAAATCAAAGCAAAAAGGGGAACTAAGCAGTTAGGCGCTATCACTTCTGAAGAAAGGGGTCAACTTGTTACCTTGGCATTAGCGGTTAACGCAAATTGCAATTTTGTACCTCCATTCATAATATTTCCACGGAAAAAATTCAAGGATGTTATGTTAGCAAATGGGCCTCCTGGTTGTGTCGGTGCATCCCATTCCTCTGGGTGGATGACATGTGAAAATTTTTTGTTGTTTATGAAACATTTTGTCCAATTTGTCCGCTGTAGCAAAGAGAAATCAGTTTTAATGGTCTTAGATAATCATGAATCACATTTATCTATCCCTGTGTTGAACTTTTGCAAAGTTAATGGAGTTGTTCTTTTAAGTTTCCCGCCCCACACATCTCAAAAGCTGCAGCCCCTTGATCGCACTGTGTTTGGCACACTTAAAAGATATTTCAATAGTGCTGCAGATGCATGGTTAAGATCTAATCCAGGTAAAGTAATGAACATCTATGATATACCTACCGTTCTAAGAGATTCATTTTCCCTTGCTGTTACCCCTCTTAATATACAAAAAGGATTTAAGGTGACTGGAATTTGGCCTTTCAACAGATAAATATTTCAAGATGATGAATTCTTACCCTCAGAAGTAACAGACAGGCCAAAGCCAGAAAATATTAACGCCCCGAGAATTAAAACCTTACCCAAAAGCCATGCCAAGAAAATCAAAAGTAGGTCGGAAGAAAAGAGTTTCCGCAATTTTGACAGACACTCCGATTGAATCTGCTTTAGAGGAGGAAGAAAGAACAAGACAAAGAAAAAAAAATGTGGGAGCAACTAAAAGAAACATATCAGTTGAATTAACAAGTGGGGCAAAGTCTAAATGTAAGAAACAGAGCGCTAAAAAGACCCTTAAAAAATAGATTCTACAAGCTCAGAAGAGGATGAAGAATCGGCATGTCTGATATGTTTAACTCCATTTTCACATTCTAGAAATGAAGAGTGGATCCAGTGCATTGTCTGTAAAGGGTGGGCGCATGTAGGTTGTGGCAGAGATATCGATTTTTATGTTTGTATTCACTTCTTGTCCGATAGTGATTTGTTTAACTTTCCTTTACAAGTTTCTTTAGGTTTTTGTTTTTACAAAAGTTTCATTTAATTTTGCTAAATAAAGGTTCCTTCCAAAACCATTTATTAAAACTGTTTTTTGAAGTTTTTGAGTTTTTTTTCTTGTATCATCTTACCCCTTAGACTGTAACAATTTGCCCTACAGAGGGGCAAGTTGTTATAGTTTACAAAGTTATTTGAACTTATAATTACCAAGTACAAAAAATTAAAAAAAACTATAAAATAAAATTGATAATACATGTACAGATATATGTGGTACCTTTCTCCAATTTTAGTTTTCATATAAAAGAACAACTTTTGCCCAAATAAATAACTATATTAATTTTGTAACAACTTGCCCCCTTCTCCCCTACCTTTATTTTTAAGCTATTGCCACTCATGTAAAGTCCTGAGTCAAACTACCTAACTTTAATCTAGATATGCTATAAACTATAAGCAGGACGCACACGTCTGGAATTCGGGAATGCTTGACTATTCTTGCTAAAAAACTCCAACTGTCATTTTTTAGCATAAATTGTTTAATATCCCTGAACTATTTTAAGGAGAAATTTCATACGTGCGCGGCCAAGCTTGAAGTACCAGTTTTAGAATATTGAAACAACATCCGGAATGTTTTAAACAATTTAAAAATATTTCAGAGATTTCGATAAGTATGAGATCCGATATACCTTTAGTTTTAAGTTATTGCCGCTGATATGAAGTTCTGACTCAATCTACTTAACGTCATTTATTAAAGAAATACATTACCTAATTGGTGACCAGTTTGGTGTAGTAAATCTACCATTTATTCTGCCTACCAGCTGGTCCATTTCTTCTTTCAGATCTTGGTATTCTTTGACGTCTGTTCTGGAGGGCACAGATATCTGAAGGAGTGACACCTTTTCTATGTGTTCCGGGTATTTTTCTAACAATTTCTCGAACGATCTCAGTCTGTGTACCAGGCCTTTCGTATAATCTAATCTATTAGGAATTGAAAAAATAATAGTCGTTTTTATTCTACTATTCTACATGGAATTGTTGAAAATGAAAGCAAAAACATGTCACACTCTCGCCATTATGGGAAGCTTTAAAGTACTTTTCACGAGTATCCATTCCAAAAATGGTTATGAAGAAATGTTTCAACATTATTGGAGGGAAGTTATTATTGTTAGTGAATCACTGTTTAGTGTATGGCGAATTTCCTTCAAAATTAAAATGTTCTGCAATTACTCCTGTTCCAAAAGTCCAAAATTTTTAGTTATATATATTATAAAAGGAATCATATATGAACAAGTCATTGAAAATATTGAAGAAAATAAGATATTTACAAAATTTCAAGCAGGATTCAGAAAAAAAGTATTCTATTGAAACAGCAATTCAAATGGTAGTAGAACAATGGAGGCGAAATATGGATGAAAAAAGTTTATAGTAACATTGCTCTTAGATTTCAAGAGAGCATTTGAGACTATTGACAGGGAGAAATTGTTAACGAAATTGCATTGCTATGGATTTCAAGGTTTAGTTATTCAACTTATTAAAAAATTATTTAATCAATAGGAGTCAAAGGACTAAAATTGGCAATACTTTATCAAACATTAAAAAAATTTCGGTAGGTGTGCCACAGGGTAGCAAATTAGGTCCATTACTATTTATTTTATAGATTAACGATATTCCTGATATTATACAACACTGCAAAATTCAAGTATTTGCTGATGATACGTTAATATATATATATATATATATATATATATATATATAGAGGAAAAAAAGACACACGAAGTCCACAACAAGAGCCAACCTACACATTGTAGTATAAAATGGATAGAAGACCTTGGCCGGTTATAGCCAGTTGCTGTGGTACTTCAAGCCCAAAGGATCTACAAATAGAAAATTATTATGCGGAGAAAGGTATATAACAAAAATAGGAAAATAATGGGCAAAATCCGCAAAAAGTGGATTCGAGCAGAAAATAGGATAGGTAACCCGAGCGATACGTATTTCTGCTGGTTGGTTTCATCAGGCCCGAAATGAATGCACATATGCAACTACAAAAGTAGATACACATGGCCACACATCCGGATACGGGTGTAACCCGAGGAAACGAAGATGGAGAGGAAAAAAAAAGACACACGAAGTCCACCACAAGAGCCAACCTACACTGGCTAGAAGACCTTGAATTTTCAAGGCGACAAATATATATATATATATATATATATATATATATATGAAATAAAGGCATTGAAACTGCAATAGAGCTGTTAAATAATGATATGAAAAATGTAAATGAACTTTAAACACAAACAAAACAAAATATATGCGAGTAGGAAAATCTTTAGATCAAAATACGACAAATCTTACAATTAATCATGAAAAAATTGTGTCAATCGAATCATTTAAATATTTTGGCATATAAGTAGACAGTAAATTGAAATTTGAAGGGCACTATGAATATTATTATTTCAAAAATACCCAAGAATATAAATTGCTTTTATAGAATTTCGCACAGTTTAAGCGTTTATTTTGTTCACTGCAGATGAAACTGTATTTTCAAAATTACAAATATTACAAAATAAAGCTATGAGAATCATCTTAAATAAAAACAAATATACTAGAATACATTTTATGCTGAAAGAACTGCAATGGTTAAATATCAAAAATGTCATAGCCTACTTGGTTTTGATTTTCATATTCAAGTTAAAAAATCGTCTTCTACCAAATCACTTAGAAAATTTTATTGTATCGAACAATGAGTTCCACAATTATTCTACTAGAGGAAGTATAGACTTTCTTTTACAAAACTCCAGTAGTAATATAACGAGCAAGTCAGTATTTCAAAAGGGATTGTACGAATTAAATAAATTAAGTAATGATATCCAGATGTGTGTCAGTTTGAAAATGTTCAAAGGGAAATTGAAAAAATATCTCATGGAAAACCAGAACTCATAATAGTGAAATTTTGTATAAAAATATGTAGTCTTGAAGATGTAATATATTTTGTGATATACTGTGTAATATGGATATTATGGATACTGTAGCATTAATGCTAAACAAACAAACAAGCAAACAAGGACCATGACAGCAAATATAACGTGATTATCTTGTTATATTTAAAAATTCTCCATATCGACAAAATTCAGACGGATCTGTCAATATTAGATCTGTAGACAGGCTCGTATTTTGTCGTGGTCAAAACTATATACAGTTTTTGTGTTAAGGCAGTCCTGAATACGGTCCTGAATTTTACCTGACTTACATCTGTTTCTTTTTTGCCAACATTACAGACTTTAATACCAAGATGTCACTTGATGATCCGCTGTTCGTAATGAGATACTCCTGAAAAATAGTTTAGTCGCGATGGTATACAATCATAGATTTTGCAAAAATCATTTTTTGAACTGATTCGTCGTAATGCTCACCTGTCAACCCCAAGGATGATCTTCTGATTGGTGCTCAACACCCTCGGCGCCTTCTCAGCCAATTCCACGAACCTCTCGAAGGGAATACCGATAGGCAGAGGTCGTACCCTAACCGTTCTGCCACCGTGTTCCACCAGCAAGTTCTTCCTGTCGACTCGGCAGCCAAGGTTCCTTTGACAGCAATCCACAAAGTTCAGACAGTAATCGGTGATGTGAAAACCGACCATGTCGCAGCCGAGCATGCCTTGCAGAATTTCGTCCGACCACGGGAACAAGCGGAAGATGTCCCATGGCGGGAACGGGATGTGCAGGAAGAAGCCCAGCTTGCATTTCAGTTCTCTCTCTTCGGCTGCCTGGAGAGAGTGAAAAAAGATGCTCATCGTACAAAACTGCGTTACTATGGATTTAAAGGACTTAATTGGCAGAAGTCAAAAAAACAACAATGGATTCACGTTATCCAGCTCAAAAAATACTTCTGGTGGTGTACCGCAAGGTAGCAAGCTGGGTCCAGTGCTATTTATTTTACGCATTAATGACAATTGTGATATTTTAGATTATTGTAAAATTAAAATATGGACAGTACTTTGAATATGTTAAATTCTGAAAAAAAACATAAATTGATCATTCTTCATTCATAATTCTTCTCTTTTTTCTTCATCATTGTCTGATTCACTGGACAACAAATTTTAGTTTTTTAATTGTATCTTGTGGGAAAAGTGCACTTCTTTGTTAATTTTGGGGCGCTGAATCCAAAAATGACAATGAAATAAAAAAATTAGTTGCGGTTTAGAAAAAAAACTTTTTATCTTTAAGGATATATTAAAAAAAGTAACAAGATTCATATACTTATAAGAATCACTATTTGCGCTGTCCTTTTGCTGTTCTTTTATGGATCGTTTCTGGAGCATCTCTACCAAGAGTCCAACAGTAGTCTGCAAGCATGGAAGGATTCCACTTTCCCTGGTACCTTTTTTCCATTGTTGAAATATCCTGATGAAAACGTTCGCCGTGCTCATCACTTACGGCTCCGCAATTGTCAGGAAAAAAGTCCAGGTGTGAGTGTAGGAAATGTATCTTAAGAGACATATTACAGCCCATCTTTTGATACGATGACAGCATATTTTTGACAAGGGTTTTATAGTTGTCAGCTTTTCTATTTCCCAAGAAATTAGTGACCACCAGACGGAAATCATTCCAAGCAGTTTTTTCAATACCTGTTAAAGTGTTTTCAAACTGTGTATCTTTCAAAATATTTCGAATCTGTGGCCCTACAAAAATACCTTCTTTAACCTTTGCCTCACTTAGTCTTGGAAATTTCTGAAGCAGGTATTGAAAAGCTGATCCATCTCTATCTAATGCCTTGACAAAGTTTTTCATTAGGCCCAACTTGATATGCAGTGGTGGTAATAAATTTTTTTTCGAATCTACTAATGGCATATGCTGTACATTTTTTTACCTGGCTCTAGGAATTGACGAACAGGCCAGTTTTGTCTGGTGTAATGAGGTGCCTTTGCCCGACTGTCCCATTAACACAAAAAACAGCAAAACTTTGTGTAGCCTAGCTGCAGCCCAAGTAAAGGTGCAACAACTTTCAAATCGCCACAAATATGCCATTGGTGCTCATCGTATTTTATGCATGTCAATAGGTACTTCATATTGTCATATGATTCTTTCATGTGAACTGCATACCCTACAGGAAGAGATGGTAAAATATTTCCAATATGCAATAACACTGCCTTTAAACTCAATGTTGAACTGTCTATAGACAATCTCCATTCTTCTGGGTTATAGTTTATATTTAAAGCCGCCAGTAAGCCGTTAATGATACTGCAGAAAACCAAGTTATTCTCTATATTGAAAAATGGTTCTAAGTCTTTGTGGCGTTTACGAAAAACACATACCGAAAAATCGTCTTCTAACAAGTTCCACTGCTGCAGTCTTGATCCAAGTAACTCTGCCTTACATTTTGGAAGTTCTAAGTCTCTTGCAAGATCATTTAGTTCTGACTGTGTTATTTTGTGCGGTTGGTGGCAAGACGTGCTCGGTATAAAATCAGGATCTCTTGACGTTGATGGCATATCTTCTTCCTGACGAATCACTCGATCGCCATGATCTGATTCGTTTTCTGATTCGCAAGTGTAGGATTCTGGGGGTTTTGGAATAGGATTTTCGTCACTGTGAGGCACAGGTCTCATCGCAGATGGTATGTTTGGGTAGTTAATAACCGATTTTTTTTTCTTGGACATACCTGTGGCTTGTCCAACGCAAGGTACCATGCAAAAGTAACAATCATTAATATGATTTGTAGGCTCTCTCCAAACCATTGGGACCGCAAAGCGCATAGACCGTTTGTTGCCATTTAACCAGCTCCTCAGACTTGAAGCACATGTATTACAGCAGATGTGGGGTGCCCACTGTTTGTGTTGATAACCTAGTTTACAACCGAAATAAAGCTGATATGTCTTTGTTATTAGTGGAGTAATAGACCGTCTCTGAGACGCAAAAGTCACATCACCACATACGTAACAAAACTGATCTGGATTGTTTACACACTTTCGAGACATCTTGCATGAACGCTGTCAGCCAACTGAGGAAAAAATGGCTAATATAAAACAATATAATGTACACGTATATATAACGTAACACAATCATGCCGATTACATCATCTTTCCTTGCCGAATATAAAAATGTAGCACGTGCATTCTTGTGAATTACAGTATATTAACAGTGTCACAGCAGGAACACATATAATTATCGTATCTCTAAAACTTGGACTAATATTGAAAAAATAAGTTTCATTCCGGTTTTAGCACATTAAAAATAGTAATATTTTGTTGATTGTATTTAGGATATTTTTTGGCTGTTGATCAGTGATTACCAGGCCTGACAGACTTACTCACTGTCAGTATGACACAAAGGCTTTGACAAACAACGATGACTTGACGGCTTGATGAATTTCTTTATGGATACTGCTGGCATGTTTTTGCATTTTTTTTTAAATTTACTTCCTCAAAAGTGTAGTAGTTTGATGATACTCACCTGCCTGATCCAGTTGGCGGCGAGCATAAGATGGTAATCATGCACCCAGATGAGCGGCATGTCGTTGTTGCCCGTACAAGGCGGCAGCGACTCCAGCGCCTTTATTGTGCAATCGGCGAACTCCTTGTTCGCCTTCACGTACGACTTCCAATGCTCCCCCTTGAAGGTGGCTCTGTCCGGCATCGAGTGGAACAGCGGCCAGAAGGTGGCGTTGCAGCAGCCGTTGTAATACGAGTCGAACATCACTGGGTCCATTTGTACCGCCACGACCTGCGAGATCAAACAGGGGTTACTTCTTGTAATCGGTGTATTAATATTTCGTTATATAGTGGAACGTAGCGATCATTTATTTACCCAAAAAGTTGATTCGAGACAATAGGCTAGTTGACACTTTTTTCAGTTTTAGAAAGTTAATATTTGTTCTATTAGACCAAAAAATTGATATTATACAGGATGTTAATGATATGCGGATATTTAAGGGTGTGAATCTACATGAAAAATTAATGTTAGTTTGCTTTATAAGCTATGATCCAAAAACGTTTCCTTACAAAAACTGGGGTGTTGAAGTTTTAGGGAAAAAATTGAAATTCAGATATTTCACTGATATTTAGTACGTAGTAAAACTTAGTCAAGTTGCATATTTTTCAATGCAAAAATCATTTTTAGCTTCAACAGTAGCGTGCCTACGGGTATTGACTTCGATATTTTTTAAGAAAAAAATTGTACGCCAATAGTTTTTTGCCAATTAAATTTTTTTTGAATTTCCCGTTCAATTTAAAACAAATGATCTCTCTTGAGTTGCTTTTTTTACGATGTGCCATTTTTGAGTAAAAAAAATAAAAACCGTTCTATCGTCTAACTTGCAAAATTATTATTAATTTAATTGGAAAAATTAAACACATTAGGGGTAATGTACAACAATGATTACAAAAATTGTTGAAAATGACCCCTTTCACTTAGTATGCATGCTTCCGCTCTCCTTCTCATGGAATTGTACACTCGTTGAAATATCCCTGGAGTGTTTTTTATTCTATCAAAAGCTGCAACTATTCTTTCTCTTAATTCCTCTACAGTGTTAATGGTACTTGTGTACACTAACAAGACGACGCTGAATATTAGAAAAGGTTCGACTATCTGGCAAAGCACGATCGGGATATCTCTGGTGATAAATCCGCCCGGCTTGCTCACCATTACCGTCGGAAAGGCTATATACCATCAGTAAGCAGCTGCATAAGCTCTCAAACTCTCAAGGATATAAACATGAATTCTATTAGTCAACAAGATAAACATAGAAATTATAGTTATTGTATCACCCGACAACAAAATTAATAAAGGCCCCAGGAAAGTTGGGGATACGCGTGCCCAGTGAAATAAATCTCCGCAACACTGTGTATTATTCCAACGTCCATGATTGCTTTTTTTCAATAAAACGAAAAACGAAAAAAACGAGCTTTTGGGGAGATTTTAAGAAGACAACGTTAGTCCGCCAGTGACATACGGATGACGTTTCTTTGTTTACAATTTGCATGACGTCACATCATGACCGATAGTTTATATAATCAATTAAAAATATACATTTTTTCAAATTGGACTTACATTTCTATCTTGCGATTTTAAAAGTTGATATTTTGAAAGTTGAGAGTGGTAATGAAAACTTATTTTCCAAAAGCTACAAGTTCTTCTAGGTCTATTTTCGGCGATAAATTTTTGTAGGCGGTCATCATCATCGATAGACTTCATCTGTCATTTTTTACGCAAAATCTGAGACAACTCAAATACGCCTAGACTAGATATGACATGTATTTAAAATATCGCGTATATTCCAAAAATTGAATATTATAATAATAATAAATGGCCTTTATTCGTCAGACGATTTCAAAATAATTGGCTTACTAGGAACAGTGACGAAAAGGTGGAGTGTCAGCTTATGCTGTTTTTCAACCCGACCTAAAAAACATTGACAAAAACTATGAAGAGAAAAAAATGTAACCACATTTAAATGACACAGTTCACAACATTGACCACCAACAAGAGAAAAGCTTGAAATATTACACTTCTCAGAAAAAGGAAACAATCAATTACCTGTGGATATGCGTGAAGTTAAATTCTAGCCACCCGACTGCTTTAAACTCATCTTTAATATACATGTCCTATTTCAACATAAGCAAGTTGGTATTTACTGACAAATTGGTTAAGGCTTTCGCGGCCAGTTGATAAACTGCTCTTGATTGGATTTCTTCCTAATGTTTCGCTAGCACAAGCGGCAAGCTTCTTCAGAGGTCCTTCCATTTCCGATGCTAGATTGTAGACTGTCTACATCCAGCATCGGAAATGGAAGGACCTCTGAAGAAGCTTGCCACTCGTGCTAGCGAAACGTTAGGAAGAAATTCCAACCGACGACGACCTTTAGACCCGAATCGAGACAGCAGTTTGGTATTTACTTCCGATACAACCAGAGGCGCCACTGTTTGGCAACAATTTTGCATCAACTTTTTGAGTCATTGATCGCTACAGTTGTACATGTACGTTTCAGCTATTAATTTTGAATGGGTAGAAAAAACAATTTTATAGCATTTATCTGCTACATCGTCAAACTTCAACATCCAGTATTCAGTAATGGTTCTACTTCTTTATGTAATTTATCTAAGTCAGAAGTAGTATAGGAATAGGGAATATACATTTTGTGTTTGTATTTCCTCTCGATTGACTAGTATTTTCCCCATTCTTTATTAATTAATACTAGTAATTTTATAATCCATTGATATGAAATCAGGCACTTTTCTGTAGCAACATAGACTGTAAGTAAAAATAATTAGCAGGTAATTGGATCACATATATTCTCTTTTATACTATACTGCAGTCCCAAAAATGCATAAAAGCCTTACACACATATCCATAACCTACACGCAGCCAATACATAAAAAGCAATATCTATAACTGCATCTAGCGCACTTTTCCGCATATTCAGCGACATATTTTCCATTTTAATCGCAACGATAACCATAACCGCGCTACATTACAGTGTTTTGCTTTTTTAATTGCCCTATCGGACATTGTAAATTCTATAATCACTGTTGTGCGGACTGTTTAGATAAGTAATTTATAGAAATGATAACGGCATTGTTCGTTGATAAGCAGTGTTATAGTATTAGCGACTTCCCATTGAAAGCTGTAAGCGGGTTGATACGAGGCATGTTGTGATAGTTATCAAGAAGTTTCCATAGTATGAATCGCTAGTATCGACTTCGGTTTGGCGGTTCGCTCATAGATGGCTCGGCATTTATGGCGGCACCAGCCATCAAGTGTTGCCAAGCTGACAGAAAGTATTTAAAATTTTCTACATTTACAGGATGTCCCAGAAGTCGACGTCAACCCGGGAACGGAGAATAGTAAAAGTCATCATAGTTTTCAGAAATATATATCAAAAATCTAAGTCGTGTACTTTTTAAATCATAGGCCTTGCAAAATGGAGAAATACAGGGTGTCCGCAAAGTTGGGGTTTTCCTTTTCAAAAACAAGTACCCTTGAAATAACAAAGGTAATGTGTAGTGAAACGAGGGCGACCAAGTAAAAAAAAAATAAAGGAAAAAGTGCTCACTCTCCAGTTGACGAGAAGGGCTAAGTACGTCTCTGAAATCAGCTGATGCGCTACCGAGCAGACGCCGGCGGTGGTGCAGACCACGAACAGAGGTAGCAAATAAGACGGCGTTGCCGCGTTTTCAGTTTTTAGGTAAACGTACTTTATAGGTATTGTTCGAAGTTATCGCCGTTTGATTCAAAAACACAGGTGCGTGCACGACGAAGCCAAGCATCGGTGCAGGCTTTGAGAATGGAGTCCCTCCCCCGAATGAAAGCACCAGCTTGTTCAATTCTGAGACGAAGTTCGTCAACCGTATGCGCTTCAGTTTTGTACACTAAGCGTTTCATTTCTCCCCAAAGAAAAAAATCACATGGTGTTAAGTCTGGAGATCGCGGAGGCCACGCTACGGGTCCATTACGTCCGATCCACCTATTCGGAAATAATTCATTCAAAAACTCACGCACTTCGCGTCTAACATGGTGCGGTGCACCATCGTGCAGAAACCACGTTGATTGTCTTACACTTAATATCACATCTTCTAACAAGGAAGGCAAAATGTTGCGTAAAAAGTCTAGGTATTGCATCCCGTCCAATCGATTTGGGAGAATAAATGGTCCAATGAGCATACCGTTCACCATGCTAGCTCAAACATTCACCGAAAATGTTTGTTGAAAATGTGCCCGACGGACATCGTGCGGATTTTCTACTGACCAAACATGAGTGTTGCGAAAGTTCTTCACCCCATTACGCGTGAACGTAGATTCGTCTGTCACCAATATGCACTTCAAAAAGTCCGGATTATTGTCATGTTGATGCAACAACCACTCACATAACCGCACTCTTGCTGGAAAATCGTCAGGTTAAAGGGCTTGTACACGTTGGACGTGAAACGGATACAGCCCCTCTTCACGCAGCGTTTGCCACAATTTAGTTTTTGATACTTGCACTTCTCTAGCCACGTCTCTAGTGCTTGTCGTTTTTTGAAACGCAATCGATTATATGGGTTCGTTTACCTCTACACGCGTGACCGTAACCGTCGGTTGAAGGTTGCATACTGACCTGACACACTGACCCCGACACAGTTCTGTCGTCGGGTTGAGCTAGTGTCCTAGTACCACTCGGGGATGTCGCGGGTCGCGGCTACAGGACGGTATTCAGATATTTTTTATGTTGTAGAGCCCTTTATCTCGGTTCCCTTAAGACATTGCTGTATATGGTACTAAGAAAAATTGTTGTGTTCAAGATCTACACGTCGTGTAAAGGAAAACCCAGTGATGATAGTTCCTTAGTTACTACAAATTTCAATTTTTTCTTGGACGGAGAGACGAAAAGTGTCATACTATGTAGTGACAGAAAGACAGATATTCTTGCTAACTTTATCAATATTTTACAAGAAATGAATAAAATTTATTAGATCCATTACTTCAAAGACGCCTTTGGTCCAATTTGTGCAAAAAGTGCAAATCGGGACTCTGGGATACATTAGTCAACGTGAAAGAATATTAGAATACCGTCTATCTTTTGATGGGTATAATAGCTTATAGGCGGTGAATATCAGTTAAGGATGCATTTTGCGACATGGGGTTCATTAAAGGGTTTAGAGGTACTCCTGAATTTGTTTTTAAATACTTTGGATTTCTTTGCCGGATACCGTAAATTGGCAATACCGGGGCTAGACTGGAAATGAGCATGGATTCTGTGACATAAAATGAAAGGGGTTTAAAGACCGTGACAATGTTTTATACATATTTACCTTTTTCATACATACTACGCAGGTATTTTTATAATATAAAATTAAGTTTAATTATAAAATGTTGGTTGTTTTAACAATATTATGCGAACGAAGACCGGAGTCGCGGAAACAGATAGTCTAGTAATAAAATTAATAGTCATCGAAAAAATATACCTACATACTTTATCAGATTTCAATCCGGCCGTCGGTGTGATATCGTTGGGATCCGACTCTGGAATGGGTTCCGTGGGATCGTTCAGATGTATGCCTGGCCATCCCACCCACAGGCCATTTCCGTTGATCACCACCGGAGCTACGGCTGTTACCAAACCACCAGCACTGTAAGGAAATAAGAAAAACACACAGTAAGTTTCTATGGCAAAACTAATCACGGGACGTCATGTATGTAGCCATCCCTACCGTTAGTAACAACCAGGAAAGTTACAAATTCTTTGTCGACAATTCAAAACTAATATCAAATGTCAAACAAGAATCCTGGGAACAATTATACTCTATAAATAATATAGACAAAGCAACGGGACTGCTCATAGAGAAAATAAAAAACTAATAGATATTAGTACCAATAAAGTAATAATTAGTCACAAAGAGAAAAGCAGAAATGCCTGGATTACCAAAGGATTAATAACATCGGCAATAGAAAAAGAAAGGCTATATAATGTAGTGACACTAACGCCAACTACAGAGAATACCGACTGCTACAACCAATATAAAAATAAATTTATAGAGCTTGTAAGGCAAACCAAAAGAAAACATTACCTAAATAAATTAAATAATAACTTAAATGATCCTAAGCGGCTTTGGACAACTATTGATGAGATTACTGGGAAAACAAAAGTTAAAGAGTGTGTCACTGAGTTAAATACAACATCGGGAACAGTATTAAAAAATACTCAACAGATATGCGATGAATTTGTACAATTCTTTACTGACATAGGCGAAAATTTAGCAAGTAATATACAAGCAAATATACAAAATACTCAGCCTCCAAAAAGAACTTTGAACTCATTTATTTTGGATAAAGTCGAGCAATGTGAAGTATACACCACTGTTATGTCCTTAAAAAATCAGAAAAGTCCTGGGTTCGATGGTATTAAAAGCGAGCATTTGAAAATTATAGCCGAGGACATAACAGAACCACTCACTTACCTAATCAACAAATGCTTTGAATCTGGCATATATCCCTCAATTTTAAAAAAAGGTAATATAATACCGATACATAAATCAGGAACAAAAACAGATGTTAACAACTATAGACCAATCTCAGTAATATCCAGTATAGCAAAGGTTTTTGAAAAAGTTTTATCTACTAGAATGATTCGATACCTCACAAAATTCAAAATTTTAAGTGAAAATCAATATGGATTTACAAAAGGGAAGGCTACATCGGACGCAATAACTAAAATTGTAAATCAAATACATCAAAATATTGATAACAGAATCCCTTCAATCTACATTTTTGTTGATTTAAAGAAAGCTTTCGCACAGTTAATCACAAATTATTATTAGAAGCATTGGAGAGAATTGGTTTCAGAGGAAACGCGTACTCACTGATCGAAAGTTATTTGTCAAATCGCCCTCAATCTGTGCAGATATCAGGATCATTTAGTAAAGAAATGTATATTAAGTGTGGTGTCCCACAAGGAACTGTCTTAGGTCCGCTGTTAATCAATATATATTCAAATGATATTTTCCAAATTAATTGTGTCGGCAAAATAACTAGTTTTGCAGATGATACTGCAATATTATATGAAGGCACTGACTGGTCTGATCTGAAAAATGTAATTGAAAATGATTTTATCAAAATTATTCGGGGGTTTAACAGTAGAAAATTAAGCATTAACTACTCTAAAACACATTTTTTACTATTTGGATCTTATGCTAGACATCTGCCAAATTAGACAAATTTCTCCTTCAATATTAATGATCAAAAAATGCAAATTAATAGAGTGCCCAACATAAAATACCTTGGAGTGGTCTTGGATCCTCACTTACGATGGGACATCCATGTCAATTATATTTTAAAGAAAGTTAGATTTGTATCCTATAAAATTAAATACCTTGGGAATATATTGACAGAAAAATATCTTCGAACATTATACCATGCACTGATTGAGCCTCATCTCACATATGGTATATTAACATGGGGAGCTGCATGTTCCTCACATATCTATAATTTAGATGTTTTTCAAAAAGGTATTCTAAAAATGATATTTAAAAAACCGAAACTTTATCCCACTGAAAAATTATACGCAGATGTTCGAATGTATGATATAAGACAGCTTTATTTCTTACACAGTATCACTCACTACCATAAATTTGTAAACACCGACCAAAAAATTAAACATAATCATTATACCAGGTACAAAATTCGTGGGACAGTAGTTCCTCAACCGCATAAATCTATAATGTAGCGATCATATCTCTATTTAGCGCCTAAATTTTATGAAATTATACCTAAAGACTTAAAAGATTTACGTTTCGGAAATTGTTTCAAAAGAAATTTAAAGAAGTGGCTACATTCTATATCTAGGACTGAAATTCATAAACTCATAAATATGAACATCAACTAAATACATAATCTACTGTAGCTAATTTTTGTCCTTTTTTGTCATTTGCATTCTACAGTTTCAACTTAAATTTATTGGTCCATGTACAGGCGATGCCTTCTACCGGGCCTGTTTTGATTTTATATTTATTTACTCATATTGTTTGTTATCTTTGTACATTGAGTGAATAAATATTATTATTATTATTATTATTATCAGATTAGCCACAGCACTTGTTTGCAACGCCTACTTGTAAAAAGAAAAAATCAGAAAAAACGCATTTTTCGGACCATATAAAAAAGTAAGTTTGTAATGGTTTCTTGAAAACGGACAGAAACAACATCATGTAGTGCCTAAAAAGTGTCAGTGAACAAATTTCATTAATTAAATAAAATAAAATTAAAAATTATATTGCCGAATCTTAGTTTTTCTCAAATATCTCAGTGATAAGTTTTTAGTTTCCCAACGGCATGTAAGTACGCCCCAAACAACATAACACCCAGTGTACATACCAAAAATCAGAGAGGTCAGCCTTAGAAAAGGACCCTGTATAGTTTTTGTTTAGATTGAGTGAAGAATAAGAAAAAAATGTATGTTTGTGTTGTCATGTAATTATGACTCTCCTCGTGGAGAGCGGCATATTTTCCAAGAAAGGAACGTATTATAGTTGCCTATAATTTTCATAACTTTTTAGGTATTTAAGATATCGGAACTACCACATTAAAAGCTCGCCCTGTAAGTAGCAGCATTCTTGTGGTTTCGTAATGGAATTAAAGAAAAACGCCACCATTTATCATCAGCAGCGTGAAAGAATGAAAAAAAAAAAAACAAAAAGAAGAAGTACTGGGCACATCTCTTCTGATCTCTGAGATATCGCATATCGACTTCCCTGATCAAATCCTATTCAATTTTGATCAACGTGAGGTTTTTAAGACGTATTTCACCAGAAGGTTGTCAAATCGCTGTCCCAAAGCGTCGTGCTTCTTGCTGACAATAAACCTAGCCAATCTAGATTGGAACAATGGGTTACCTGCAAGAATATTACGTAAAAAATCGATACAATATCGTTAAACGTCGGTCCACTAGTGTGCTAAGTAGTCGCTAGCCCATTCCGCGCCATTCCGCTGTGAGCGCCACCTATGGAGGAATGGCTCAACGACAATGTTGCCAAAGACGCTGCGACTCACATTTCGCCAGCGTGCTTTGTGGGTTGCTGTAGAGTTAGTCCACAGAGTATACTTGTAAACAATATGTGATGAACGTATGGTTGAGTTTGAGATCACATATAGATGATTGTGTGTATTGGCCTATACGAGCAGTAATATTTGATCAAGGATTTCTGAATATGCTTAGCAGAGTCTAATGTCTAGCTAAGTGTATTTGATACAAGAAACCAACGGAATCATCATCAGCATAGTAAGTGAGTGACAGCCATTTCCAAGGTGACACTTCTTCGGAAAAACCGTCATGTCATGTGAAATATGGCATATTTCAAAAACGGGATCGATAAGTCCATTATTATAAATTAATTTGCCAAGTTATTCCTTTATTAGGTTTTGTTGATACCTTATTATTATAGTCGTGTTGAATCGCATAGTGCTACTTATTAGGCCTGATGTTCATATGATTTACCAATAATATTCTTGACAGATTTATCTTAAAAAATATAAAAAGCTAACACGCATCAACAAACTCATGTGGGGTCTTCTAGATATGCATGTATGTCATGTTGTCGATTATCAGGTCAACGAACTGCATCACGTTTCTTATGATCTCTTGTAAAAATAATAACAAAAGTTCATATAAACAATTGATATGTACGGTAACCTGAATAATTTATTCGATGAGGGCAACATGGATGAATGGCCCATAGCATACAGTTATTATAAATTAAATAGCCAGTTTTCCATCTCAAAGGAGGAATGTATAGATTTTTTTCACTACTAACACTATATATACAGGGTGGTCGACTGGATTGTATCTTGAATATTTGTGAAATGAAATAAAATACGTCCATTTTTTTCATCTTACTCTTTTACTGCAACTTAGAAAGCATATATGAAAAATAATATCACGCGCAAACCTGAGGCCTCTTGATTACACTTTCCTTCACTTTTTGGTAGGTTTTGGGACAAATATTTTCAATCGGTACTGTAATATTGTTCTCCAGCTGCTCTACAGTATTCGGTTTGTTGACAGAAGCCCTATTTTTCAAAAATACGCATCAAAAAATCAGAAAACTGCTTTAGCAATATCAGGTCCTTTTGTAGCAATTTGGATGTGTCTTCTCAATTTTTAAGTTTCCTATTATCGGTCAATAAATCAAGTTCTAATTCGCTATCGAATCGGATTCAGAAACTATGCGTTTTTTGCGACTTTAAGGTGCTAAAAATCGATTTTTGACATATAAATCCGAACACCCAGTTTATATGGTTTTATTTTAATAAAGTTGGTGAATGTATTTACCTTACTATAAATAACAAGTGAAACAATTTTCAGCCTTATCAGTTGGACGTTCCGGTTTTCATACTGCTTTTTTTTAATTCACTAACGCTCTAAAAATGAATATTTCAGCCGCAGTAAAGAATCAACGTTGGCGGATTTTGGTTCTTGACATCCTTTACGATCGGTTACGACGCCTAGAGTACGGAGACCTGTACGATTTCGTCAACTTAGTGAGTTTGATAGGGGCCGTATAGTGGGACTTCGGGAAGCTGGACTTTCTTTTCGGGCAATTGCAGTTAGACTGCAAAGAAGTGTAGACACTGTGGTTAGGTGTTGTCAGGCATAGCTTCGAGAAGACCGTACGTAAAGAGCAAGGGGTACTGGACGCCGCCGTAGAACAACAGACTGTGAAGATCGCCGCCTAAGATTATTGGCCTTAAGGGACCGTTTCTCCACTACCAGGTCCATTGCAAATCAATGGTTTGCAGAACACGGAAGACCTATTATATATACCGGCCACACTGGGTCCTAACTTTAACTCGAGAACGCCGACGTAATCGCCTTGAGTGGTGCAGACAACGGTCACTCTGGGATCAGGAATGGAACAGTATTGTCTTTAGTGACGAGTCTCGTTTTTGTTTAGGCATGCACGATGGTCGTGCCAGGGCTAGAAGGCGACGTGGTGAAAGGATAAATCCACAGTTTTTTGTTGAAGGACATGTTCATCACTGTTGGAGTTATGGTTTGGGGTGCTATAGCTTATGTTTCCAGGTCACCTTTAATCTTCATCAGAGGTAACATGAACGCGCAGCGTTATATCCACGAAGTTCTAGAACCTCATCTTTTACCCTATATTGACACCCTGGCAGATCCAACTTTCCAACAAAATAATGCCCGACCACATGTTGCAAGAGTCACAATAGACATAATGATGTTACATTGTTACCATGGCCACCAAGATCTCCCGACTTATCCCCAATTGAGCACGTGTGGGATATGATGGGTAGGGGATTGCTCAGTTTGCAACGTCCTCCTCAGACTCTAGAAGCACTTCGAGAGGAGTTGGTGGTTGCATGGAATGAGATACCACAGGAGGACATTGACCACCTGATCAGAATCATCCCTAGGCGCGTTGGAGAATGCGTAGCACATCAAGGTGCATCCACACATTATTAAAGGTCAAAGGGCTTTAAAGCAGTGCTATCATTTTGAAATTTTTATCATTTCCTTATTATGCTTCATTAACTACTTATACAAAATTTTATTAAAATAAAACCATTTAAACTGGGTGTTCGGATTTATATGTCACTTAGTATAAGTATCATAGTGAAAAAATTCTAAAGTGTCATCGGACCGGATTTGGGGTAAAAAATTTGAATGTTGGCACTCAATTGACATCAAATTTGGAATTTACAAGTTTCCATCTAGATCATAAACTCGCAAAAGTTTTTGGAAATTTTTTATTAGTCGTTCTTGACAAAGAAGAATCTTACCATTATCTCGAAAGCGAGGCATTTTCGTACTGAATGGGCCCCGGTTTAGATTTCAGCGATCCAGCGTATTATATACAGGGTGTAAACGTTATGATAGACATTATTTAAATGGGTGATAGAGGGGGTTAAAAGTAGCAAAACGTTTCATATAACATGGGGGCATTTTCTTAGAGAAAAGCGACTTTAAAGTAAAATAAAGTGTGACAACGCCGCAATGCCAGACGCAATTTACGACGTAACGCAGTGTAAGTAAAGATGGAGTTTGTCATTTTTGGCTCTTAGGTATTTCATTATTTGATAATGTACTTGTAAAATGCAAAACACTTTTTTTTTATACTCCAACTACCACGAAGGCCTAAGGCCTAAGCACGCATTGGGACGAGGGAACACGTGTGCATGCAACATGCACACATTCTGGCTCCGCCTACGAGATCCGCCGGGTGGTACCTCCCGTAGGATTCTATGGACTATGGTGTGCGATAGTCCTACGCGGCGGCCTAATTGCCGAGTGCTGATATCTGAATCTATTTCCACGATATTTAAAATTTGTTCCTCCTGCTCTTCAGTACCTGTCTTTTACGAGTATTAGTGGGCTGAACATTTCCTGTACCTCGAAGTCTTTGGTACACTTGCACAAATGTCCTTCTGTCTGGGTGTACCCGTTGGCGAAATCTGTCGCTGCTTCGCCGTAAACTAACAATATGTCGGCGAACTCTTGATTCGAGAACATTGTAAATAAACACGACGACGTACGCGAACAAAAACAAAACAACATACTAACCACTGTTACCGTTTGCGATCGATTGCCGGTTCGATAAGAGTGACGAAAGACCGACGCGCTGTTGTCATGTGTGTTTTAAATATTTAATTTAATGAAACTTACTAACTACAAATTTTGGCTTAACTTAGAAAAGCTTAATGCCATTATTTGTTAATTACCCAATTTAAAAACGTTTTTGATTAGATTACAAAAATTAGTAAGGTTGTGGTGATTGTGGTCGATAAAAGTACTTAAAGTTGTAAACTATGAAGCCATTTAGATAAAAATCTATTAACTTTTGGACCATGGGTCATATCAACTTTTTGACTTGTTTTGACGCCTCTATTACCCATTTCAATGACTACAATAATGGTTGAGCTCAAGTTCCCGAGTTACCCAAAAAATATTATTCTAATTGTATGGGCCTGTTTGACTGACTTCTAGTTTGTGTTGGACATAATCCTTTATGTAATGCATATTTATTTTTATATACAGTTTTACCGTAATTTTTGTAGTCGCTGTTAAGTTTCCGGATCGGGCGGTCAATATTGCATGTAGTGTGTATGAAAAGATATCTATCGAATCGTATGAAGACTACATAATATCGCTATCCGGTAGGTTGATCTGACAAATAACGCCATTTTCTGGTGACAGTTCCACCGGGTAACATGATTTACTGCTTATTCCGGTCGGCTGAACGTGCCATCTTCGACAGCACACCTTAGCATATGTATATGTCATATATCAATTCGAGGCACGCTTGGATAGAAGCAGCAAATACGGCCAATAGGCCAAGGAACGAGGAGATTTTGTATGAGGAAATCCTACACTAGTTGCAACAGTACATTTTTTGATATCGTTAGACTGCTGGAGCATTTTTTATCGCCACGTTTAATCGAGAATCCCGGAAACTAGCAATCTGATGTAGAAAAATAATAAAAACAATTTTGTAGAGAATTAAATTCTTTATGATTTTTATCCTACACAAATTTCTCGTATGATCAATAGCTTACGAGAAATTATAGGGTAAAATATACATGCAATGATATTTTTGCTAATAGTATAACCAGTTTTTTTGTACAGAATAAAATTTTCCACAAAAAGGTGTTGCACGTTTTTTTGACACCTTGACGGTTCTTGAAGCATAAGGACGGAAAGCTAAAAATTCTTATCAAGACAGTATCGCGGTATTCCCCTGGGGATAACTTCACAATCACTATCTGTGATCAAGGATACTGCTTTAAAGTGAATCCATATTCCATAACCATGGAATGTGTAACGTTTTCTTTATGACGATCAAGTCACCCACTTCCATCAATCTGCCTATTGTCGATTTTGTCACCGCGTTAATTCAGTAAACGTTGCGGCGTTTTTATGGAAGATGAGATGTAGTGGATAATGCTGGTTTATGGCAAAAAAAAATCAGTCCCTTTTCAAATATGGAAATATTTTCCATGCTTACGTATGACAGAAAAAAAAGTATTCTTGGTTGATGATCGTTGGCAATATACATTAAGCATCCGGTTTTGGTGCATTTTTTTAATAATATTTTTCAACTACAATTTATGAGCGTGTAAAGGAAATCATAATGTACCCTTTTTACATCGTACTCATGACGTGGATTTGAAAAGAGAAACATTCAATAAAGTCATTTTAAATGTAGTTAACAAACATATTCCGGTGAGATATGTTAAAAGTACAAGAAGATAAAAAATTAATCATTATCTTCTTAACTGTATCCCGAAAAGTTGTAATAACTTGAAAAATAGAATTTTTTACAAATTAATCGACGAGTTAACACTTTTTAATACTCTCACAACAATCAGAGACATCTCCTGGCTCTCATGACATATCTCTATCCTTGATTAAGCTATGTTGTCCGTTTATTTTGCCTTTCCTTATAAACATCATCAATTATTATTGATAACAGTAACATCAACATTCCCTTCAAAACTAATAATCCTAAACAGGTGTCAGATTCAAGAGCGATAAGAATTTTATGCGGACTATCCAAGTTCGTACAGAAGATATTAGCAAAGGAACTAATTGATTATTTAAACACGAATACTATACTGCCTTCCACGATGTCGGGATTTTCAGCAGGCTTCAGCAACTGCACTGCTTCATATAACGGACAATACAATACAATTGTTAGACCAGGATCAGTCCTTGTGCTGTTAGATTCTAGTAAGATTTTTGACAAGGTATATCATGTAACGCATTTAGATATCATAAAGTCCTGCGGGGCATATCTAGAGCCCTTGCAGCTTTTCAAATTATACTTGGAAAATCGTCCAGCTTGGTTCTCGAATATATGCATACATGCGAATTAAATTTGGTGTGCCGCAAGGTTCTGTGTTGGGACCACTATGTATAACTAGTCAGTCTACCAAGTTTATTAAAACCAGCTTAGCACATATGGTATACCAACTGTCAAATAAACGTACACCTACATATGTTTATTAGAATTCAAGAAGATTTCAGATATAGATTTATCTTGCCACGAACAAGAAGTGATAAAAGGAGGCACCCCAACAGGGTATCGACTGCCTTATCAGCACGATGTCCAAGCATGTCAATGAGTTTATAAGAAATCGTGGATCCGCAACAAATTATTGAATCAGGTTTTGCTGTCAGTTGACGAATCAAGCTGTAAATTTAATCATTTCACTAGTAAAGGACACTGCCAAAAATTATTAAAATCGGTTAAACATACGTACGTGTTTCCTTTTTTTTTGTCACTCAGCATACGTATGCGGATGGCGCTTATATGCTCTCTGCTCATTTTACAAAGTAATGATTAATTTAGGTGACCCTGTGTGTATTTTTTGGTTAGTTTTAGGTCAGGTTAATTTTTACATGTATTCGACTACTGGCAAGGGATTAGTGGAAGAACAGCTCGAGGTGAACTCCCTCTTAAGGTTTTCCCAATATCATCATTTTCTTTCTCATGTGTGCGTGAAGTGTACGTATATGATAAATAACAATAAGGAGGGCACTTCACCGTACTATCGACGACAGGAGCAAATACGACTAAGCGACGTGGAATCGGCATGTTCCCGTTGCTATTCCCGCTCATTCGACGTCGATGATCCGGGATTGTTTACACTCTGTGCCTTTGCCACGTTTGCAGATCCGTTTGAGCGTGGTTTCAGCTTCAGCTACGATGCCATGTGCTGCTGCTGGCTTGTTCGTATGCCGAGCGACACAGCTGCTAGATCTCAAAAAGAAGGAGCACTTGGGTATATGAAGGAAGCGTGAGACGTTCCATACACGACGATCGAAGAAAAGTAAAGCGAGAAATATTCGGTCTGAGAGATTGAGTTGAGGGTTAAAACATGGCAAACAAGTCTGACAGTGAGTAGGAAAGAGCTACGCATGCTGGGTTCATCTCTGAATGGTCACTGTTCAGTCAGGGCCCGGAAGAGAGAAAATTTTATCTAAGCCCGATTTTTGATCTGTCTGAGATTCGTATAACTGGGAAAATCCGCCTCAAGTAGAGTGTTCTACATTCTCGATATGCTAGTGACAAAGGAGCGGTCGTATCGTCCAATTCTAGATCTATGATTTCCACCAAGGAATACTTGCGAGATGCTACGTACTTCTTTTTTGCAGTTACAACTGAGATCGCCGCGAGGTGTACTATAAATGGGCAGATTACACTGATCAACAGCCAAAAAATATCCTAAATAAAATCAACAAAATATTACTATTTTTAATGTGCTAAAACCGGAATGAAACTTATTTTTTCAATATTAGTTCAAGTTTTACAGATACGGTAATTATATGTGTTCCTGCTGTGACAGTGTTATTATACTGTAATTCACAAGAATGCACGTGCTACATTTTTATATTCGGCAAGGAAAGATGATGTAATCGGCATGATTGTGTTACGTTATACATACGTGTACATTATATTGTTTTATATTAGCCATTTTTTCCTAAGTTGGCTGACAGCGTTCATGCAAGATGTCTCGAAAGTGTGTAAACAATCCAGATCAGTTTTGTTAGGTGTGTGGTGATGTGACTTTTGCGTCTGAGAGACGGTCTATTTCTCCACTAATAACAAAGGCATATCAGCTTTATTTCGGTTGTAAACTAGGTGATCTAGACAAACAGTGGGCACCCCACATCTGCTGTAATACATGTGCTTCAAGTCTGAGGAGCTGGTTAAATGGCAAAAAACGGTCTATGCGCTTTGCTGTCGCAATGGTTTGGAGAGAGCCTACAAATCATATTAATGATTGTTACTGTTGCATGGTACCTTGTGTTGGACAAGCCACAGGTATGTCCAAGAAAAAAAAATCGGTTATTAACTACCCAAACATACCATCTGCGATGAGACCTGTGCCTCACAGTGACGAAAATCCTATTCCAAAACTGCCAGAATCCTACACTTGCGAATCAGAAAACGAATCAGATCATGGCGATCGAGTGATTCGTCAGGAAGAAGATATGCCATCAACATCAAGAGATCCTGATTTTATACCGAGCACATCATGCCACCAACCGCACAAAATAACACAGTCAGAATTAAATGATCTTGTAAGAGATTTAGAACTTCCAAAATGTAAGGCAGAGTTACTTGGATCAAGACTGCAGCAGTGGAACTTGTTAGAAGACGATGTTTCGGTATGTGTTTTTCGTAAACGCCACAAAGACTTAGAACCATTTTTCAATATGCAGAATAACTTGGTTTTCTGCAGTAACATTAACGGCTTACTGGCGGCTTTAAATATAAACTATAACCCAGAAGAATGGAGATTGTTTATAGACAGTCAACATTGAGTTTAAAAGCAGTGTTATTGCATATTGGAAATATTTTACCATCTCTTGATGATATAATGAAAAACTTTGTCAAGGTATTAGATAGAGATGGGTCAGCTTTTCAATACCTGCGTCAGAAATTTCCAAGACTAAGTGAGGCAAAGGTTAAAGAAGGTATTTTTGTTGGGCCACAGATTCGAAATATTTTCAAAGATACACAGTTTGAAAACACTTTAACAGGTATTGAAAAAACTGCTTGGAATGATTTCCGTCTGGTGGTCACTAATTTCTTGGGAAATAGAAAAGCTGACAACTATAAAACCCTTGTCAAAAATATGCTGTCATCGTATCAAAAGATGGGCTGTAATATGTCTCTTAAGATACGTTTCCCACACTCACACATGGACTTTTTTCCTGACAATTGCGGAGCCGTAAGTGATTAGCACGGCGAATGTTTTCATCAGGATATTTCAACAATGGAAAAAAGGTACCAGGGAAAGTGGAATCCTTCAATGCTTGCAGACTACTGTTGGACTCTTGGTAGAGATGCTCCATAAAAGAACAGCAAAAAGACAGCGCATATAGTGATTCTTATAAGTATATAAATCTTGTTACTTTTTTTAATATATCCTTAAAAATAAAAAGTTTTTTTTCTAAACCGCAACTAATTTTTTTATTTCATTGTCATTTTTGGATTCAGCGCCCCAAAATTAACAAAGAAGTGCACTTTTCCCACAAGATACAATTAAAAAACTAAAATTTGTTGTCCAGTGTTATTATATGCAGGGTGATTCACAAGTCGTAACCAAAAATGAAACATCATACGTAGGACCGCATGTTAACCCTTAAAATGATGTCCTGTATATGATGCTTCATTTTTGGTCACGACTTGTGAATCATCCTGTACATAATTAACTATGATACACAGATGCAAGCAACGTCGCCTGCCACCTATCACCCATCACCTAACGCCTGCCAACTCAGAGCATAATCGCGGCCTGAGGGTGACGAATTTTTTCTATACAGGAAGTGCAGAGGGAGACAGAAAGAGATGTACGTAGTATGTTTTCAGTTTTGTTCCACCACCAATTTATCATGAAGCTTATCCAAAGATAATGTAAAGAGCTTTAAATGAATGATATTTGTGCTTTTAATGAGTCTCTATGTGGGTCAAATTTTCCTTATTTGGCTTCCAAAGAAATTGAATTTACGACTTCAAATTTCACATTTACGGAGAGGGCTCAATTAATTTGTCACGATTCTTACTGTAAAAGCATCCAAAATCAAATTTGATACAATATCTGTGTAGTAACAGCAATAAATGCGAGAATCACAACCTCTGGCTCTCCTACTCTCATTGCGTATAAATTAACACTTTTCCAAAGATATCATCAGAATTGCATGCAAATGTAGTTTCTCGGCTACGTTAAATTAACAGGAAAACACTGAAATTAGACAAAATCATTATTTTCGTACCTATGTCACTGTAGAAGAGGTATCGTAATAAAAACTGTATACAAAAGCATGCTAAATACGCAAATTTTAATTAGCTGGGCCTTTCTGACTGAGTTGATCCGTTTACTTCTTCCATTGACTAACCTTTTTTAAGAGGGGGCAAGAGACTAATAAGAGCGTTGTGTGGAAAGTGCCGAGTCAACCTACTTGACGCCTTTCTTTTGTGAAATATTAGCAAGAAACGAGTGACTCGAGAAACAAAGTTTCCTGATGGTCTGGTTACAAGGTTTGTGGTTAGTTCTAAACTATTACTCAGTCATTGTGATAATATTCACCTCGTTTATTGAAAGGCGAAACGGTCAAAATCCAAAGATCCAATAAGATAAATGTTTCAGATTACAGCTATTTCATCACACTTGAAGCATGATGTCAGTTCAAAAATTATAAAACAGAGTTCATCAGAACCTGATGGCCAAGGTCGTATTATCACTCTTCCTATATAAATACGATACACTGGATTCAACTAGATAATTAGGGATATATCACGTTTGTACTGACAAAAACGTGATAATTTTGAATTAGAATAGCCTAATGGATGTGATTAGGTGTGCAATAACAATGTTATCCATCACTGCATGACAAAAACTTTTTTTTGAGATTGGCCACTTCCCTCATGAAAAATTTGATACATATACTCAGCGACATTAGAAATATGTAGGAAGTAGAATTTAGGAATACATAAACTATACGAATCAGAAAAAAATATTTGTTCAATTATAAATATGCAAACATACAGAAATGATACACAGATACATAAGCATATGACCCAGATAACCGCATTCGGTGTTGAGAAAAACAAAAAGGAAAAACACGATTGAATAGCAAATCGATCTAAAAAGTCCGAAAATCAGGTATCACTAACTAATTTTGAATAAAATCAATATAAAAATTAAGATGTAACATCTCAAATGTGGTTTGCGTGTCGATAATTATAGTAAATAAACGTGGGGTGCTTGACATTACGATTTTTTCCTCTCCATCTTCGTTTCCTCAGGTTACACCCGTATCCGGATGTGCGGAGATGTGTATCTGCTTTTGTAGTTGCATATGTGCATTTATTTCGGGCCTGATGAATCCAACCAGCAGAAATATATATCGCTCGGGTTACCTATCCTATTTTCTGCTTGAATCCACTTTCTTTCTTTTTGCGAATTTTGCCCATTATTTTAATACTTTTTGTTATGTACCTTTCTCCGCATGATCATTTTCTCTTTATATACACATATATATATATATATATATATATATATATATATATATATATATATATATATATATATGTATATACTAACTGACATATAAATCCGAACACCCAGTTTAAATGGTTTTATTTTAATAAAATTTTGTATAAGTACTTAATGAAGCATAATAAGTAAATGATAAAAATTTCAAAATGATTGCACTGCTTTAAAGCTCTTTGACCTTTAATAATGTGTTGATGCACCCTGATGTGCTACGCATTCTCCAACGCGCCTAGGCATGCTTCTGATCAGGTGGTCAATGTCCTCCTGTGGTATCTCATTCCAGGCAACCACCAACTCCTCTCGAAGTGCTTCTAGAGTCTGAGGAGGACGTTGCAAATTGAGCAATCTCCTACCCATCATATCCCACACGTGCTCAGTTGGGGATAAGTCGGAAGATCTTGGTGGCCATGGTAACAATGTAACATCATCATGTTGAAAGAAGTCTATTGTGACTCTTGCAACATGTGGTCGGGCATTATCTTGTTGGAAAGTTGGATCTGCCAGGATGTCAAAATAGGGTAAAAGATGGGGTTCTAGAACTTCGTGGATATAACGTTGCGCGTTCATGTTACCTCTGATGAAGATTAAAGGTGACCTGGAACGATAAGCTATAGCACCCCAAACCATAACTCCAACAGTGTGATGAACATATCTTTCAATAAAAAACTGTGGATTTCTCCTTTCTCCACGTCGCCTTCTAACCCTGGCACGACCATCGTGCATGCCTTAACAAAATCGAGACTCGTCACTAAAGACATTACTGTTCCATTCCTGATTCCAGAGTGACCGTTGTCTGCACCACTCAAGGCGATTACGTCGGTGTTCTCGAGTTAAAGGGAGGACCCAGTGTGGCTGGTATGAAAACAAGCCAAAACTTCTCATTCGTCGGTAAACACTTCGCATGCCAATAGGTCTTCCGTGTTCTGCAAACCATTCATTTGCAATGGACCTGGTAGTGGAGAAACGGTCCCTTAAGGCCAATAATTTTAGGCGGCGATCTTCACGGTCTGTTGTTCTACGGCGGCGTCCAGTGCCCCTTGCTCTTTGCGTACGGCCTTCTCTAAGCCATGCCTGACAACACCCAACCACAGTGTCTACACTTCTTTGCACTCTAACTGTAATTGCCCGAAAAGAAAGTCCAGCTTCCCGAAGTCCCACTATACGTCCCCTATCAAACTCACTAAGTTGACGAAATCGTACAGGTCTCCGTACTCCAGGCATCGTAACCGATCGTAAAGGATGTCAAGAACCAAAATCCGCCAACGTTGATTCTTTACTGCGGCTGAAATATTCGTTTTTAGAGCGTTAGTGAATTAAAAAAAAGCAGTATAAAAACCGGAATGTCCAACTGATAAGGCTGAAAATTTTTTCACTTGTTATTTACAGTAAGATAAATACATTCACCAACTTTATTAAAATAAAAATCTTAAATGGAAAGGGGGGTCGAGTGATACCTTATTTTAAAGGTCTTTCAATTCCCTTTATAATGATGTAAAATACATGAGCTTCAGTTCAGTAGTTTTGAAGATTTATTGATTTGAAGCTTAAAGTAGACTTTAATAGGTACATCAGAATAGTTTGTACTACTTTGAGAAGTTAAATTTGACTAAAACTATTTACTTAATAAGTAAATAAATGCTTTTCTTTACTACGCCCATGGTTTGTTTATCATTTTGTTGTTGAAAATAGCTATTGGAGCGTTTTTTTTTGTGGCAAAAAAGTTATTTCTTGAAGAAAGATAAGGGAATATCTCGTACTTATTTTAAATAGGAATTTGGTACATAGTTTGCGATTGATTTGACCAAGCTTTGTTGCTAAATTCCTTAACATCCAACATTTACTCAAAATTTCCAGTTTTTAAAAAAAATCCGAATCCTCAAATTAGGTCAGAAGTTTCCGATTTTTTCCAATTAATACCAAATTTTCCAATCCATTTTTTAAAATTTCAAGAATCAATTTTATTAAATTCCTGTAAATTGGTGAGAATAACGTTACATGCATACAGATCAAGCTAATAAAAGGGTACGTTTGTTATCGATCTGCGTAAAAATTGCATGCATTCAGAAAAACAAACACAACTCTAACCCGTTTATTGTTCTGTTGTTTTTATTCCAATTTTTTCAAAGATATTTTAGTATTTCATAGCAATATGTATATTAAAATACACTGCAGTGGAGCAAATGAACAATATCAGGAATACGCGACGTGCATCTAGAGGGCCTGCGGCATACAATTTTTATTTACACATAAAAATGCCAGCATATTTATATACAACATATTTTCATACTGCTGCGTGTACACATTTTTTCGAAAATATTATCAACGATCATAAATTTTTATCGGTCGAGAGAGTTTTATCAAACAAAGGCCATAAATAGGTCGGCGCATTCTTTCAACGGTGCGGCGCAATAGTCAACTGCGATGAAATTAAAAATCGTTTTTGATTTATGCAACGTGGAGTGCAGAAGGATAGGCGCGTGTATTGCTTTGGAGCTCGCAGTTTACGTCAATATATCATGGCTAGGCGTCAAAAATTTTTTATCTTGATGTGTTTCCTAGAGGCAGCGTTGCCAACCTAGCGGAATTTCCGCTAGATTTAGCGGATTTTGTTCCACGTTTAGCGGACACAATCTGCAATTATTGCGGATAGCGGATTTTTTAAAGGAATATGCGATTTTGTTTAACGGAATTTATCGGATTATTAAACTGAGAATAAAAACAATTTGAACAGGAAATATTTTTCATACGAGAATATAAATCGAGGTTATATGGCCATAGAGGAGAGATGGCCCAACTCGATATTTTCCTAAATAGTTATTAGAGGGCGTTTTTCTCAATAAGGCGTAATGTACTGTTATGTGATCGTGCTATACTAGAAACTCTGAGTCAATTAACTAAGTTTAAAGGTAAGTTATTTTAAAATTACTGTTTACATGGGTTCAATAGTTTTTGAGTACAATTTTCCACTAGCCAAATTTCGTAAAATTTTATTAGTTTTTAACAATCCGTCTGGTGTTTATTTTACCATGTGTGGTGTGTTTTATGTTGCTTAAGCGTTTCACATTTGTATTTATTTTAGATGCCAAATATTTATAAAAGAGAATCATTGGAGAGTGCCAAATGGACCGAGGAGCAACTGAAATCCGCAATGAGTACTGTTAAAGATGAGGGATTATCTGTACGTCAGGCTGGAAAAACTTACGGTATTCCGAGAAAGACATTGGAAAGGCGAAAGAATGAAGACCCTAAGAAAAAATTGGGTCCAGATACTACTTTTGGAGCTGCACATGAAAACAGACTGGTTCGGCATATTAAAGAAATGCCAAAAGTGGATCTCCATTTACTAGAGATGATTCGCGAACCGTAGCTTATAAATTTGCTGTTCAGCTGGGCTTAAAACATAAATTTAATAATCGGCTTCAGAAAGCTGGTTAAGTTTGCCTGCATTCATTTCTCACCAGAGATCCACAAATATCAGTTAGAAAAGCAGTAAGTTTGCCGTTGGCGAGGTGTACAGCAATCTCTAGAAAGGTGGTAGTTGATAACTTTAAAGTACTGCCGAGTGTTCTGGAAGAAAACAATATCTTGATAAACCCGAAAAATATTTTTAATATGGACGAGGGTGGATTGCAACTAAATACAAGAGCGGAGGAAGTTTTGGCAGTAAAAGGATCAAAAGTAGTTTCGTCAGTTGCTTGAGCAGAAAAGGCCGAGACTGTAACAGTTGTTGCCTGCTGTAACGCCGAGGGCACTTTTCTTCCTCCTGTCGGTATTATGAAAGGAAAAAAATTAAGTTAGTTAGTTTTTTAATGTAAGTTACTTTTTTGGCAAAATGATTGGCTATTGAGTTTTTAGTTTTTTTTCTGTTATATGTAATAATAAAGTCTCATAGGTATTTCACGAGTACTCTTATAAAACTCATTATTTTCTTTGAACTTTGTATGGCCATCTTACCTTCTATGATATGGCCATCTCTACTAAACACTATACTATATACTATATACATATAAAAAATACCGATATTTATCAACAAAATGAAAAACCATATTTATAGTAAATTTGCACAGAGCAACAAATAATAATTACCATGCCCTATCCTAAAATATTATATTTTTTGTTAAAACCCAATTATTAAAAGTATTACAGACGATTAAAAAAAATATGGCCATCTTTCCTCGGTTTACCCTAGTAATTATTAATTACTTATACAGGGTGTAAACGCTATGATAGTCATTATTTAAATGGTTATGTTTAAAAAGTTCCATATGACATGGTGGTCAAAACCGCATTTTTTTAGAGAAAAGCGACTTTAAAGTAAAATAAAATCTGACAACGCCGCAATGCCAGACGCAAATTACAAAGGAACGCAGTGTAAATAAAGATGAAGCTTGTTATTTTTGGCTCTTACGTATTATTTCATTATTTGATAATGTACTCGTAAAATGCAAACAATTAAAGAAACGGACTTACCACTAACTGTTTCACCTGGTGTGTGAAAGTTATAAATAAGGAACACAGTTTTGATACATACATTGCTTTTCTTTTTAAAACCCACACTGCATTTTTTTGTATTTAAACAAGGTTTTCAAAATGTAGTCCTCCACTTTACACACAAGCTTCGTTACGACGAACCCAGTTTCGTCTTATTCTAGGTCCTCGAAGTTGTCCATTTATTGTTTCAGCCGCATTACATTTTTTTTTGCGAAGTTGTGCTTCAGTTGTTATTGGACCAGCCCATAAACCATTCCTTTAAGTTCTCCCCAATACCAGAAATCCATCGGATTGAGGTCAGGAGATCTTGCTGGCCAATTTCGAGGAAGCCACAAATTCTGTCTCCGTTGTAATGGCATGTTGTCTAAGGTCTGTTCCAAAAGTTCTGGTAGGTTATAGGCTGGAAGGGATCTTTCTCCTGACAACTGTGGGGGTAACTCGAAAGGGCCAATTACCTGATCATCAAGAATACCCGCCCAAATATTTATTTTGAAACGTTGTTGGAAATGACCTTCTCGAATGGTATGAGGATTTTCTTGGGCCCACGTGTGAGTATTATGGAAATTTAATATCCCGTCTCGCGTAAAAGTAGATTCGTCCGTCGCTAGAATGTTTTTAAAAAAATCCGGATTTTCAATGTTTTTGTGCAAAAACCACTGACAGAATGTTAGTCTGCGAGGATAGTCTTCTGGTAACAAGGCCTGCACTCCTTGTACATGGTAGGGATAAAGCAAATTTTCCCGTAGGGTTCTATGGTATGCGATAGTCCTTCGCGGCGATCTAATTCACGAGTGCTGATGCCTGCATTGATTTCCACGATATTTAAAATTTGTTCCTGCTGCTCTACAGTAACCTGTCTTTCACGAGTGCGAATATTACTGGGCTGAACATTTCCTGTATCTCGAAGTCTTTGGTAGACTTACACAAATGTCCTTCTGTCTGGGTGTACCCGTTGGCGAAATCTGTCGCGATAAGATTTGAATTCTGACGAGCTTCATCGTAAACTAACAACATGTCGGCGAACTCTTGATTCGAGAACATTGTAAACAAACACGACGATGTACGCGAACAATAACTAACCACTGTTACCGTTTGCAATCGATTGCCGGTTCGATAAGAGTGATGAATGACCGACGCGCTGTTGTCATGTGTGTTTTAAATACTTAATTTAATGAAACTGACTTACTGACTACATATTTTGGCTTAACTTAGAAAAACCTAACGCCATTTATTTGTTGATTACCCGTTTTAAAAACGTTTTAGATTACATTATAAAAATTAGTAAGATTGTGGTGATTGTGGTCGATATAAAGCACTTAAAGTTGTATACTATAAAGCCATTTAGACAAAAATCTATTGACTTTTGGACCATGGGTCATATGAACTGTTTGACTTGTTTTGACACCCCCGATTACCCATTTCAATAACGACTACTATAACGTTTATACCCTGTATAGTCATGGTGCCCTGGACCTCTTAATATTTTTGGCAACAATGCGATAAGAATGAGGCAACGAGCCATTCCAAGGAATCGGGGAATTACCCACATGCGATTGTGCCCGTCTATTTTGTGACAAGTTTTCAATAGTCAGAAACTGCTGTTACTGTTTAGTTACTTTTGTTTAGACTTGCTGTACATTTTTATTTTATATTATAATATCTTTTACCAATCAAGGGTGCTTCTTTTGCAAATAACTTTTTTTAGTGGATTCATACCGGATCTAGGGGATGTTGAGCACTTATTTGGCGGAAACTATTTTAAAGAAATGGCAACGCTGCCTAGACGGAAAGGACCAGGGCAGTGCCGGATTAAGCGGGTACAGTATCAAATTACATATACTAAGTGACATATAAATCCGACCACCCAGTTTAAATGGTTTTATTTTAATAAAAGTTGGTGAATGTATTTATCTTACTGTAAATAACAAGTGAAAAAATTTTCAGCCTTATCAGTTGGACATTCCGGTTTTTATACTGCTTTTTTTAATTCACTAACGCTCTAAAAATGAATATTTCAGCCGCAGTAAAGAACCAACGTTGGCGAATTTTGGTTCTTGACATCCTTTACGATCGGTTACGATGCCTAGAGTACGGAGACCTGTACAATTTCGTCAACTTAGTGAGTTTGATAGGGGCCGTATAGTGGGACTTCGGGAAGCTGGACTTTCTTTTCGGGCAATTGCAGTTAGAGTGCAAAGAAGTGTAGACACTGTGGTTAGGTGTTGTCAGGCATAGCTTCGAGAAGGCCGTACGCAAAGAGCAAGGGGCACTGGACGTCGCCGTAGAACAACAGACCGTGAAGATCGCGGCCTAAGATTATTGGCCTTAAGGGACCGTTTCTCCACTACCAGGTTCATTGCAAATGAATGGTTTGCAGAACACGGAAGACCTATTGGCATGCGAAGTGTTTGCCGACGAATGAGAAGTTTTGGCTTGTTTTCATACCGGCTACACTGGGTCCTCCCTTTAACTCGAGAACGCCGACGTAATCGCCTTGAGTGGTGCAGACAACGGTCACTCTGGGATCAGGAATGGAACAGTATTGTCTTTAGTGACGAGTCTCGATTTTGTTTAGGCATGCACGACGGTCGTGCCAGGATTAGAAGGCGACGTGGTGAAAGGAGGAATCCACAGTTTTTTGTTGAAAGACATGTTCATCACACTGTTGGAGTTATGGTTCGGGGTGCTATAGCTTATGGTTCCAGGTCACCTTTAATCTTCATCAGAGGTAACATGAACGTGCAGCGTTATATCCACGAAGCTCTAGAACCCCATCTTCTACCCTATCTTGACACCCTGGCAGATCCAACTTTCCAACAAGATAATGCCTGACCACATGTTGCAAGAGTCACAATAGACTTCTTTCAACATAATGATGTGACATTGTTACCATGGCCACCAAGATCTCCCGACTTATCCCCAATTAAGCACGTGTGGGATATGATGGGTAGGAGATTGCTCAATTTGCAACGTCCTCCTCAGACTCTAGAAGCACTTCGAGAGGAGTTGGTGGTTGCCTGGAATGAGATACCACAGGAGGACATTGACCACCTGATCAGAAGCATGCCTAGGCGCGTTGGAGAATGCGTAGCACATCAGGGTGCATCCACACATTATTAAAGGTCAAAGGGCTTTAAAGCAGTGCAATCATTTTGAAATTTTTATCATTTACTTATTATGCTTCATTAAGTACTTATACGAAATTTTATAAAAATAAAACCATTTAAACTGGGTGTTCGGATTTATATGTCACTTAGTATAGTTAAACATCGATACAAGTAGCGCTATCTATTGTCTAGCGTTGGATCTTTCATTGATGTCCTGACAAAATATCGGTCAAAAAATGAGCATCGAACCAAGAGCCTGTGTTCAACTTGGTGAAGCATTTACCGAAACGCATCAGGTGTTGATGCAAGTGTATGGTGATGACTGTTTATCTTGTCACACCTTGAAATTCAATAATTTGAGTTATAGCCGAGTCTAGAAGAATTTGAGGAATTACTTTTTTCAGAAAGAACAAAAAGATGCTCGAAGGAATTCCAAGATCAGAAATTGAAATTTTTTTCGCGGATATATTGCTGATTCCAGTCGAGCTCCACTGGAGCAGCATGAATACGGAAGCTTATTACAACACCGATCCCTGCTTGATGCTCCGTAGAAACGAGCTAGTTAATAAGCGAATGAGGCAATATCGCAACACGTCCAGGACCTCCTCCCGGAATCAAGTCTGCTCCTACGGGAGAACAACTGCCAACCTAGACGTAATTACGTTATGAATAGATACTAACGTAGCCTTATTGTGTACATGCACATCGGCTGGATGGGGAGAAGGCCACTCGACCAATTTACCTTAACTGCTACATATTGCACATTGCCCTTCAATGCTGTGTTAAATTATATAGGTGTTACAGGAAATATGCCGTCCACCTTGGGGCGGGTGTGGAAAGTATGGGGTTGTCCAAAGCGGACACAGGAAAGTAAACGCATATTAAAACAAGAAAGATTGATATTCAAATCAAGTTGGGTACTTTATTTTGAAGGTTCATTTATACCATTTATGTATGAAAAATAATATCGCTCAAACGTTCACCACGACTGGATTTACAGACGTCCACGCGATGG